ACAACATTTTCCGTGATTCTTTATAGAGTTTCGCGATAGTGATAAGAGGTCTGGTCTCATTTCGCTCGAGGTCACGTTAAGCCCCGCCCAGTTAGTTACACTAGTTACACTCCCCCAGGGGGTCCCCCTGTCCACACACAACATTTCCGTGATTAGGCGTGATTCTTTATTGAGTTTCAGTTCGAAACGATGCCCAAACCTGCGTTTCGTTAGACTAGTTTCGTTATACGACGTATCGTTAGTGAGCGTCCACACCTACAATTTTGGTCGTAAAACTATCGCGAAACGGTATCACTATCGCGAAACGGTATAGCTAATCATGATTAGTCACGGAAAATGTTGTGTGTGGACAGGGGGTTGGTAACATTGTTGAAGGTTGATGAATAAATTGCTTAATTTCTGTTTAAAATGTTACTTACTATATTCCTTCTACTGTACTTACCCTCTGACATGCAAAAAATCCTGAAAAATTCTCAAACCACAGATATCTATGGTTTTCTTTGAAGGAGTCGATGTATGACACCCTCTAACAGTGATTAACAGTAAATTCTCCCAACCATTTTTGAATTTTCCCAACCGTTTTTCCATGAAAAAAAGACATAAAACAGGCAATAAAAAATCTGTCAACACTTAAATGTCTGGAATGGAATGTAGAGCCATTTTATTGCTTTGGGACGATTTCCATTTACCTAAAATGTAATTAAATTGTAATAATATAGTTGGCAGAATTAAGGAATCGATCAGATAAGTTTTTCCCAATTTGTACCATGAATAATGGTCCGTTTTCACTCAATTTTTCAAATTATCTTTAATTGTACATCTAGCATTGAAGTCACTACCTTAGCAACACTATCTCTCATCTGAACAATGTTACCAAGTCCCTTTAATCAAGGGCAAAGCACAATATGCAATTTTGGTCTGATGTTACATTACATCTTCATGTTAAACTTGCAGTTGTCGTAACACTGACATGGATGAAACCAATACTAGCACATTAATCCTCCATCTTCTCCTCCTTTCCATAATCACTCCTCTGTATTACTGTACCGTTCCGTAGCTCATCACTAATTCATACACATCTGAGTCTAAAAGCTCTTTGTGTATTGTTTAGAAGCAACGGTTTTGGTAGCACTCATTCTTAGTCATCAGAAGCGACAACTGTTCAGGTGACTTCAGAAGTGGAGTACGAGTGTGAGGAAAATTTTACCTGTTGAATTGTGGGAGAAACGGCATGCGCTTGCATGTGCAGGCATTGTCTGGCCTGGCATAGAGTTGCTCCTGGCTGAATTCAATTTCTAAGGTGAATGAGCGGCGATATAAATTAAAGAGGAGTTCATCATCGAGTGTCTGTGATGTCGCAGAGTAAAGATTGTATTCAAGAACTAAGCTCTTTTCTAAAAAGCTCCTCCTCCCCCCCTTATCCTCCTATTATATATACTACCATAACTACTGTATTGTGTATGTCACCGAAGACTTGTTGCTTACTTCTACCGAATGTAATATCGGTTTGAACTTACACCATACCTCTAGAACATGATGGTATAGAGTTGACTCGTGTTGACTCAGGCTGACGTCACATACACCTGAGCTGTGAGTAGCAGACCATCACTGTCATAGCTAGCCATTTATCACCGCATCAACGGTCCCACTAGCTTGAGGGGGGCGCTGGCTAGCTACATGCACTCTGGCTGTATCTAACCACTATCATTGACCAGCCCATGATCTACAGTAGTAGAATGTGAGGCCATCAGGGATATACAATACAATCCTCATACAAATGAGCTGACAAAATGTTGCTGCGGCTTCCGACTGCATTTTTAAAATAAACACAAACGTGATTTACGTGAGAAACGATATTAAAATCTGACATTGTGTCCTAATTTGTCCACTTACCGAGTAACTTTTGACCGTGCTAACGGGGATCAATTATTTCCATTTACTCACTGACCATTAAGGAAGGAAAGATGAGAGGAGCAAGTGGACGTCACGACACGTCCTTGGGGCATAAACTCATCGCCTTCACGCACCACGGTCAAGCCACTCTACTCTTGTGGCTAACCGTTGTCATTAACATCAATAGGCGTCTCGAGGGAAAGGGTAGACTATCACGTTCATATCTTTCAACTAAAAAACAGAATCGCAGGGTTAAACAAACAACTCTGGTTGAATATATAAAGATCTGTTAATTTTGTGGTGTATGCACTATGAGAAATATGATATATCGTTATCATGTGCAAGACACGAGTAGAGTTTATGTAGCATTCGTCTGAAGTATAGCGATGATCAGTTATATTGGTTGATTGATTGTCAGTTCTAAACATGGAATGATTGTCTTCAATCATTAATGGTGCTCTTGGCAAACATTTTGTTCTCAAACGATAGAGACTATTCATCATTCAGGCTCTTTTCCTAGTTAGGGCCTCATCTTATGTAGTGAAGCAAATCTTCATTTAATCTCGCCCTTCTATTTTAGGTCCTTGAAGTAAACGGGTTTCTCAAAAATTCATTTTGCATTCGCTTAGACTTCTATCCATAACGTAAAATGAAGAGGTATTTAGCGGGTCAGTTTAAAGTGTTATGATGATGGCATTGACCCTCTTAGCCTACTCATGTTGCTTCTATCCATCCTGACAAACATCCTCCAATTTTGATGAAGTTGAAAGGCTACGCACCCTGTCGCCACGGTGACGAGGTGCATCCATGACCGCAGTCCCTCTCCGTGTCCCATCTGACGTTACCTCTGTCGCCATCCCTGTCGCCATCCCTGGAAACAAATTATTCATTGAAGCTATCTCGTGTCTCCTTCATGAGACATAATGACATGCAAACTGTCATCAAATTAGTTGTAAGTATAGTCCCAAGGAGAGTTAAGATAGCCCCTCTGGGAGTTTGAATGCAAAATTAAGCACACATCCAACACCATTGCGTCCATACACACTGCAGAAATGCGTTAACTATACCTAAATTCATGGCTGCATACTCCACTGATTTTGTTGCTTTCTTTGTATATTTCATCCAGTGAGGTGTGTATACTCCTCACCGATCTCCTTACATTCTTTAGTTACTTCTTCCTTCCTAACCCTGCAATATAGATTACTGTATTACTGAACAATCCATGTTTGAAATACCAAGGCTTGTTCCTTTCTGACGGTTTCATGTAAGGAACATTTATCTTTAAATCAATGCTATTTAATGTTTTACACTTCACATAAGTAAGGTTCAATGGTATAGTAACGTTTGGTCACATCCTGCTGTTAGTGTGATAAGTCTACATCAGTAGAAGATAGCATGTATAGAATATAATTTTACAGATTTTTAATTTTTTTTACTGGACTCAAAATCATGTTTATCTCTCTGCTTATGAAATGAATAGAACAATTTAGAGTGGACATTTTGAAAAATATTCCTAAATACAATTTACTAAGTTCATATCAGCATGAGATCTCACTTCATACCCCGGCCCCCCCCCCCCTACTCAGTGTTATTTAGGGTACGCATATGCTCGTTCCCTCTTTTTGAAAGCACCCCCTATCTGAGGACTACCAACATTTCCGAACCCCCCTTTCGCGGGCTTTTTGCATGCTTTTCCTGCCTTGGAGACCCCCCTAAATCATGAAAAATGCTCAATGTACCCCCCTAAATTCAGAATAATTTCTCAGGAGTCCAAAGAGACGAGAGAAAAAAAAAGAAAAAACACCCCCTTTTTAAAGAAGTCTCCGGGTGAAAAGTTAATACACCCCTTTTTTTTACAATTCTCGGGCCGGACTTTGTCGCACGAAAAGTACCCCTTTACCGGACATTTTGGTAACACGCATGGGGTCATTCCGACCCCGGAGTGGGGGGGCCGGGCTTCATACTAGCATGAGATCTCACTTCATACTAAGTAGTATCTGGGGGGCCTCTTCATGAAAATGTCATTTTCAAGGTTTTTGTGTTGAATTTATTGTCAAGAGAATAAACTTGAAAAGAAAAAGAGGTGAGGTAGGTTTAATTTTTTAGTTTGATTATTGAAGACAAATGGAATAATGGGTTCTCTACCACTGTTTCTGATTTTGTGAATGTATCCAAAAATCTTTTCTATTAAATAAGAGGTTTTTTGTTTGATTAGCTTTGGAATAATCTCAGTGTCACATGGCTAGTAAATGAATTAATTTGATATCAGGGATTTAAGTTACTTTAATTGTTCAAACCAACAGCCTTTTTCCACACAGTTACTCTCAACTTATCACAACCTCCCAATATCCATGTACCATGTTCCATTAGTCTATGCTTTGTTATAAGTGTGTGATATAGGCATCCAGGGTCTGATGTGAAGAGACTATAGATTCCAACTGATGAATGAATGGATGGTATATTCATTACATTATATTTACTCTCTCATTCAATGGTACCTTAAATTGATCTGCTAGTCTTCTTCCAGGGCTATCATCTTAAAGGCATACTGTCAGGGGTAGATGTGAAAACATTCCACATTACCTACTCTTGCAGACTCTTCTTTCCTCCTCCTCCTTATCCTCCTCCTTTTCCTCTTTCTCATCATTTTTTTCCTCTTCCTCTTTCTCATTCTTTTCCTCATCCTCCTCTTCAACCTCCTCTTCCTCTTCTTCCTCCTCTTCCTTTTCTTCCTCCTCCTCTTCCTCCTCTTCCTCCTCTTCCTCCTCTTCCTCCCCTTCCTCCTCTTCCTCCTCCTTTTCCTCTATCTCCTCTTGTTCCTCCCCTTCCTCTTCCTTCTCTTCTTCCTACCCTTCCTCCTCTGCCTCCTCCTCTTCCTTCTCTACCTTGTACATTACATCATTATTATCATCAAGACTATCATCACTCGTATAATCACCATTACCACCATCATCATCATCATCATCATCATCATCATCAACACAGCCACCACTACCACTACTACCACTCTAGTAGCAATCATCACCACCATCATCATCATAATCAGGTTACATCACAGTAATGATAATGGCCTTAACCATTAATGTAACCCCATGTTCACCTCTCAGAGAGGTCATGAAGCCAAACTGGATTTGGTTCTCGGCATCTTGATGTCTCCTAATGACCAATGTGTCTCCTTTCATACCGTCTATCTTGCAAGAGAAGGATCTGAATGGGGTCTTTAAATGAGAGTAAAGTAGCAGACTTAATTGATGCTTTCGCATCTTGGCAGCTTGTTTTCCTCCCAATCCAATAACAGTCGCTCCAGATTTAGGTCATGTATGAATGATGATTGCCGGCAAGACCTCTCTTTATTAAGGGTTGATTAACAGGCCAACTGTTTTTAAACAGAGTGTGAAATTACTGGAAGCTATATCTTTCCCATTTCATCGCAATACTACCCTTTTTTTATGTGTCCTAAGATGCTATTCGTTGTCTCATGAAAATATGAATATCTATTTATTTCCTGCCAAAGATAATATTTGAATAGAGTACGTGAGGTTTGAAGAGTTAGACTGCTTTAGCATCTCTTTGAAGTGTCATAAGATGGAAGACAAACAGGATGTATAACGTTAGCTTCGCAATTCGTGCTAAGAGCTTGAAAATCTCCACCTCGTAATTTGGCCATTTGCTTTAAGATCACAGACCTGGCTCTTGCCAAGCCTTAAATACATCACGCTCTGGAATTAAATAGGCTCTGTCCCTTGCTATTCGAAACTCCTAAAGTCCTCTTTATATACACAGCTTGTTTCTTGACATTTAAATTTGAAACCGAGCTCACAAGCAGTGGAGACCTCTCCAATCTAATCCAGCGTGTGGCCAATTCAGCCCTACTCGTGTCTGCAATAAAGCATATCTTTTTTTTTGAGAAAGAGAGAGAGGGGAGAGGGAGAGAGAGTGTGGCGGAAAAAAGTGGGATCCGATTGCAAATGAAAAGCATTGAACGTTGATAGGGTTGAGGAGAATGGAAGGGATATGATGGGGAAATGATGGTGGAAACCTGGTGGAAACCCTCTTTATTGGCTTTGGCTTGGATGTCACTGAAGCTTCTTTCAAATGGGGTTGAACTCATTTCCGTAGGAGGGGACTGTCGTTACTCAATCAACGGGAAGTGAAGCGAAAGAGATGTATGGCAGTCAAGGAAGACTGGTGTTTAATACAGTTGCAATCGTTTAGAAGTTAGAAATAAATGCAGAATATTTGTAATGGATATCTACCAGGAGAAAGTCATTTTCAAAATATTTAGAATATATAAGAACTTATCAAATCCACTTCCAAAGGAGGGATATTCTTAAATGAATGTCTTGCTGCAATTTCCAGAAAACCAGGTTCTTGGTTTCATTCTCCAGAAGTTAGAGTGTGGACAATACTTGATATAGATGTAACTTTCAAGATAGAAATCTTCTTCTAGTACCCCTCTCCCACCCCCTCCCACCCCATAGCCATAGATACGAGCCCCAAGTGGCCAATATCTGGTGTTTTTATTTGTGGACATGGCATGGAAGAGGAATAATGATGAAGTCATTGTCCTGATGAGTTTGGAGGAAGAGAATTCAGCTGTTTTGAGTTCCTGTCGTTCACTCTTTCTTCCTGTTAAGAGATGAGTAGTGCCTGTCATTCAGTACCCTCTCTCTATCTTCTCTTGTCTTTATAAAGCATTCTTGCTTCAGTTCATCATATAATAGTATTGATTGACAGTGTTTTCTTTATTCCTTGATTTCTTAAGGTCTCATAACCCATAAAAAAGGACATCTTTGAAAGGGCAAAATAGATGATTTGGTTTTGTGCTCTTAGTTACACACATTCTTGGCCACAGTCACAAATTAGGTGGAAATGTGTTTTTCATGGTTCATCTAACTGACCATATAGACCAAATCAGTGTTTTTTTAAAATAAATTAGATGATGATTTAAAACAAGGTTTGGAATACCTTTTTCTTTCTTCCTTTGGTGTTTGGTTTGAATTTTTAAAACTATGACTGGAATTTTGTCTATAATCTATATTTTGGAAACATTTATCCATGGGCTACTCATAATTATGTGAATCAGCCTTCAAGAAATCTATCAGTATCTTATAAATCCCAAAATTCAACACGATAATGTTTTCTTTAAATATGACACATTTTCAGAAGGTTTTTGTTTTGATTTTTTTTAATACCTCTTTCACTTTTACCAACATTGTGCATTACCTTTTAAAAAACTTGTATGTTTCTTTCTTTTTTTCTTGTTCCTTTCCTCGCGCTCTCTCTCTCTCTCTCTATCTCCCTCGGATATCTGCTTCTTTTCTTTACCATTTTAATTTCCATCAGAATGATTTCTAAGTGTATGTACTCCCGTCTCTGCTGAGCAGTATCCATGAGACCTTCATCATAACATTTTTATTGTTTTCTCTATCTGTGCTAGCTAGCAGACCTCTCTATACCTATTATTTCATGAATTCAATCAGACTTGTCGTTTTCCACTCCACTCCTTTCAATCAGCCAAAAGCATTCCTGATGCTCCACTGTCCCTCAAATCATTTCTTTGATTGAGCATCAGAAGCCAGTTCGGTCAATATTTTGATATGAAGAGTAGCGTGATCTCCATTTCCAGATTGATGCTCCGTTCCGTAGTCTTTGCCGGCTCACATGGCTACACCCTGCTAATCAGGAATGACAATGGAAATACTTGCTATTCAACTATTATTGTGCTCATGCTGTCATCTTAGAAGATAGGAACCTGAATCATCGGAAGCTCTTTTCAACTGAAATTGATTTTTTTTTTCTTCTTCAAATGTATCTATTTCTCTTGCATCCTTTATTTTCCATTCCTTCTCGTCTTAGTCTAGTTTAGGTATTGAGTATTCAAAGCAATAAGAAATAAGACCTGCTAAATCACCATCTTCGTCATTTAAGGAAATGGTGAGGATTGAAAAAGATATTTTTGCAGTGAGGTTTGTCTCTATTTAAGATTATCAAAAGATTTAAAAAGCAGGCTTCCCATTCCGAGCTAGACAGCTTATTTTACCGTCTCCTTTTTAAAAGAAGAACATTTTCACTCAAGAGTTCATTATTTCAGCTATTTTCTGAGGCTTGCCTGTACTTACAATTAGAAACAATAATGTTTACTTAAGTCTGGATAGAGACGGAGCCAACATATGCTTGGGCTTTTTACTTTAAAAGCTTTCGATCTGCCAATGAATAAAGAAAGGGCATTAGTATAGAAGCATCTCCCGTATCCTACTTCTTGCTGGTTCATGCATGCCCAACAAGCTCCGTCTTAACTCCCACTCTTACCTCTCTCTGTAAGAGCTTCAATCGTCCAGGGATCATATTGCATGCACACAGTTGAAAAGACAAAAAAGACAAACATGTTTAGTGACTTGCATTCTACGGGTATGCAGACAGGGGCTCGGGAAGATTCCATCCGAGACTTTTAAAATAAAAAGAACGCCACCACTCCTTGGAACGGTGCTCCAAGTGTTAAGCAAATAATGCATTCCATTAGGGCGCATTTCAATATCCCTCGTAACTTGATCGTCGAAATTTACTTTATAGTAGAGTTGGTCTGCCCTCCGTCGTCTGTGGGCCAAACAAGCCCCTGCTCTCCTCTCTGAACCGTCCCTAATTCTGCCTGATATGTCTGAGGTACCCTCTTCCTATTGTTTGCATGGATTGCCGGTCGGAGCACGTGTACTTAGTGATGTTAGGGTAAGACGATGCTTTGTCAACCAGCCATTGTGGGTGGGTATGGGACGTGAATCATATCAAATCATATCCTGAATTTCACTTAGTTTTGTGAATAAATAAAAAAGGACATGCTTGATGACAGTCAAAGTCATCCGAGTTGAAGGACAAAGTAATGCCAAGGAAATATATGATGCCAGCCCCCATCAAAGCAGAAAATGAATTGAAAGACAGGCTTTACTTAACTCCCAAGACAAAATTTGTTATGATTATGATTTTTATTTTGCATGTCAATTACAATGTATTATAACTTTCTTAGATGATGCGTGTTTTATTCTCTTGATCTGTATTTCTTCAACTCCTTGCTCTGTCAAGTTTTGATTTTACTTTTTCTCTCTTTTCCCTTTTCATATTCCATCTCTTTCTCTTTATGTCTCTATCCTTCCCTTCCCCTTCTCTCTCTCTCTCTCCCCCTCTCTCTCTCTCTCTCTCTCTCTCTCTGTCTATTTCAATCAGCAAAGCATTAAATCTCCTCAAATCCCTTTCGATCAGTCTAATAATGCAATACTGAAACTTTCTGTTGCTCTTCCAAATATTTTCCTCAGTACTTTTCCCCTTGTCCTTAGTTGTCACTTTCCCTCCCCCGTTTTGGATCCAATTTCTTTCTTGTTTTTCCTTCCCTTCCCTCTTTTCTTTTTCTTTCTTCTCTTTTTTCTGGACTGAAATGGCCATGCTTGTCACTCCTGACATTTCTGCTCAAGAATTGGATTGGATCTTAATGCCAGTCTAGGGAAATAGTGATGGATTCCCGTGGGCATAGTAGCAGCAATTTGTTCCTATTCTACCCCCATGTCAACACCTATAGCCAGAAGGCCTTACTAAAAACCCTTCAGATTGCTCCCAGAGAAAAAAGAGCCATATTGGAGATAAAATGTGAGAAGTATCACGCTTTTAACCTCCCATGGGATACCACGTTCTACATAACCAGTCACCGGTGGGGACTTGACCATTTTTTTGATGAAACGCTCTTGAACAAGAGTGCAAAAAGAGATGAGAAGCCAAAAAAAAAAAATTGATGATGAGATATGAATTTCTACAGGTCTAGCAATTAAAGAAGTTCTCACCAAGTCATGCCTTATCCATCACTCTCGTTTCACCCTCCCAGCCCCTCATTTAAACATTCATGTGCCATATCGCTATGGTGACAGAAGTACCTGTTTCAATGGAATGAGGATATTCTTATTCTTAGCATTTTTTTTCTTTCCAGTTCTCCCCAGTTCTCCCCACATTTTCTGACACGATGTGGAAGTAGGTAATTAGAGCAAAATGACATTCTTGGCTTGTAAGTCGGTGCTCAAAATACAATGCAAATATTTTGATATCATTTCTCCAGGGAGAGACAGAAAAAGATAGAGAGGGCAGGGGAGAAGAGGGAGATGGGATGAGAGTCGGAAATAGGGAGGTTTTAAAGCAGACAGAAAAAAGAAAAGACGGAGAAGGGAGAGGGGGTTTGTAGAGAGAA